CCTGCTTCGCACCCCCATCTCCCCTAGAGGCAAGCTCAGATCTTTGTAATTTTACTCCCCAGGTTGGAACACCTCCCCAGGCATTCAGCCAGCCACATCCCACTCCTGTCCCTTTCCCCTCAGTCCTTCAAGGGGAATTTCAGTTGATGCTATGAAAATAGGGAATCCATGGGGGCCTCAATTGCTGAACTGCCTCATCAAAGCAGTGAATACCCTTCCATGCTCCATGTTCTGAGGCAACTTATTCAAAAGCTAACCCTGAACTCCTCTTGCCGGCGGCCAATAAAAGTCTTGCTTTAGCAACAGCTTCCTCTGCTGAAATCAGATATTCAAGTAATAAACAAGTCCCAAAGGCAGGAAAACCCACTTCGCTCTCTTCTGATTAGTTTTTCTCTTCTTTCTACTTCATATTTTAAAAAAAAATTTTCTTCTGAAGCAAGGGATGCCTTCTCCTAGAAATATAAGCGAAGGGATTATTCCTAAGCAACTCTCTTTCCTAACCCCCATGTTAGCCCAGCACCTTCCCTTCTTCCTTTATCCCCTTCCCCCCACTCCTTTACCTACTCCCAGGCCTCAATTATGGGGCTGGGTGGGGCCCATTTCCCCATATGCTGAGACCTGACTTGGGTCAAAGCCAGGTCAAGAGTAGGCATTAAGGGTTTATCAGTCCAAAGCTCTTTGTAGACTTGGCCCTCTGTCCACTACAGACAAAAGTTCCAGGCCAGCTATAGTCTAGACCTGGTATCCCTGCTCTTGGTAGTGGTGATGACTAGGGATGGGGAGGTAGAAATATGGGGAAGAATTTCCCTGAAGATGATATTCATGCTAAATCACTACTTGGTTCTGGCTGCTTCCAGTCACCCTTAGAGGACAGACAGCTGGAAAGCTTCAAGATAGACAGAGGCCCCTTGGAATTCCTCAGCACGAACAAGAGACCATAAACAAGCAGGCCCCAAAGAGCTGGTGCTGAGACCCTGTCTCAGATAGGGCAGTACTAGGGCTCACCAAGAGACCAGTAGAGAAGAGGCGCCTGAAATGGTGTCTCATGGGTCCAGCTGTAAACAGGCCCGGCACCCCCTACCCTTACGTCAGCCCCTCCTCCTCCGTCTTCCTCCTCCGTCCTCTCCCCTCCTTCCTCTCTTTGTCACGTCCTAGGGTAAACGATTCCCCATATGTGCCCCGCTGTCAAGGATATTCCCTCCCTGGCTCGCTGACATCTTCCCTCTTTCCCCCCAAATAGGTTTTTAAGTGACTTTGTCCTCAGAAGATGCGATTCCGTTTGTTTTTCCTTCTGACATTATCTCTCTGGAGAGTTTCTGGTTGGGAGAATTATGTCGAGGCTGCAGATTGCAAGAGAATTGCTCCTAATAGGGAACAGACAGACAAGACACCTTTCATGTCCAGCCAAGTTTTTCTTTCTTCCTCCCCACCCCCCTCCCCCACTTCTCATCTTCCCTTCTTGGCTTCCACATTGGCCCTGCTTTGTGCTTGTTCCTTCAGGACATCTGGTGAATAAGGTCACACATTGATTTTATTTTGGAGATTGGCAGCTGGGTCAAGCACAGACCCGAAGGCTTGCCAGAGGCCCACAGCCCTTGTCTCAGAGTCCAAGGCAAGGGTTGAATGCACTCTTGAGGACTTGTAGGATGGGTGATGTTGGTGGTAGGGAGCTTGAGTGAGCCCATCCTGATAACAAAAGAACAGAGCAAAGCAGACCTTGTTTACTTTGGCAATCGGGTGTCAGAGATTTTCAGAAGGGACCTCAGGGATCATCAAATTCAATCCACTTATTTTATAGTGAAGAAACTGAGGTACAGAGATGTTACTATGTGACTTTCTCAGGTCACACAGCTGATAAGTGGGTCTTTCTGACTTCAAGCCCAGCACCCACAGACACCATACTGCTTCTCAAACCAGGTCCTTTGAAACTTGCTTGGATTTGCATACATACTGATCATCTCAAAGTTTGAGAGCCTCAATCTTTAAGAAATTAAAAAAAAAAAAGAAACCTAAGTGGGGATGAGGATGTATGCCTCTAATCCTTGCTACTGGGGGGAGGCTAAGGCTGGTTGATCACTTGAGTTTGAGAGTTCTGGGTTCTAGTGGGGTTAAAGCTGGTCTAACTCTGGCACCAATATGGCAGGCTTCTGAGACCAGGCCATCTAATGAGGGGATACCAGCTCAGGTTGGAAATAGAGCCGATCAAAGCTTTTGTCCTGATCATCAATGGGGTGCAGCCTGTGAGTGGCTGCCTAGGCGGGGCAAAATTGGTAGACACAGTCTCCAAAGCAAAAAAAAAAAGGATTTAAAAAAGAAGAAAAAAAAGAACCATAGATACCCAGAATGTCAGTTAAAAGGGACTTTAAAGATCATCTATTCCAATTTTTTTTTTAAAAGCAGAAACTGAAGCTTGTGACTAGCTGAGTTAAGACTCAAATCCTCGCTTTCTGACTCCCTAGTTCACTTTCCACCCTAACACAAATCCTCCTGAAGTTATCAAATCTCCCTTCTCTCAGTCAATTTAGTTTATCCTTTCCCTACTTATAAAAGAGATAGTTTAGAAATTTAGATTCTTGGGGACCTGGTAATGGTAACAGGGGAGGAAAAAAAGAGTTATGGGCCCTAGTGCCCTAAAAGTAACAACTGATCCACAACCTACCATTGGTGCCAAGTGGGTAGAAAAACCCTTCCCCTCCCCCCACCAAGAAAAAAAAAAAGAAAAAGAAAAAACCCTGGCCTCTTGAGGAGCAATAAAACATTTGGTGGACTGTTTAGAATTCTTTGTACTTAGTCAGGAGGCTGATATCACAGCTTACACCCATAAGCAGTCAAGATAGTCATAGTTCCCAAAGAGAATCATTTCCTATTGCTCCACTTATTCTTGTTTAAGCGGAGTGGGGAGGGGAAGCTGTTGGGGGAATCTTGTCCTTCCAAGCTTCATGAAGAACGGCATATCAGCTCCGTAGAACAGCTTGGATCCTGACTCACTTTCCAGATGTTTTTGATTCCTTTTCACCCCTGTCCCCCAAAACTATTTCTAGCTTTGGGAAATAGCTACCACTCTAGCCCCTATAAGGGAAAAGAGGGATAGAATTCTATCTTTAGTCCTAAGGCAGCTAGGTGGCACAGTGGATAGAGCACTGGGCCTGGAGTCAGGAAGACCTGAGTTCCAATCCAGCTCCAGATACTTATGAGCCAGGTGACCCTGGGCAAGTCACTTAACCTTGTTTGCCTTAGTTTCCTCATCTGTAAATGAGTTGGAAAAGGCAAACCACTCCACTTTGCCAAGAAAACCCCAGATGGGGTCATGAAGAGTCATGATTTAACACAATTAGCCCTAGGACCCAAGAAATATTCCTAGAGGAAACTGGAGTCAGATGACCCGAGTCTGAATCCTAGTTATAGTACTTATTAACTGTGACCCTGGACAAGTGGCTCCTAAACATCAGATACCTCCTCTTTAAGTGAGAATAATAACACTTTACCTACCACACAGGACCGCCATGAGCATCAAATTACATAATATTTGTAAAATGCTTTGTAAGCCTTGCTTTGTCAGTTTCAGAAGATGACCATAGACTGCAAGATGAATTTACTTTGATGTATAGATTTCAAAGTAAAACCTGCAAATCTGGATTAAAAGCATGCTTATTAGGAGGGGGGGGGCGCGACAATGACGATACTGGACAGCTATCCCTCCAAGTTGAAGATGTGTGTTAAGCGTCTGAGGATGAAATGCAAACCACCGTCTGAATACAGAACACCCTCTTTTCCCAAATCTAACTTGTGTAAAACCAAAGTGCTGCTCAATAGTGTTATTTTTCAGCATATACCTTTTTTTCCTTAACTTTCAAAGAGATCTTCATCTTGTGATACTGTGACCTTCCCCCCAACTCTATCACCTGGTAACCAGCCTTCTGATGTTGCACCTCCCTGTACTTAGCTAGGCTGGTCCATGGACAACAGACAATGTTTCCAGTTTTGTCCAGTTTGGAATTTCATGTTTCACTGGAATAGCCAAGAACCTACTGTCACTTCCATAATGATAAGGCATCAGAGGACCTTATTTGGACCAGCAAGGCACATGTGAAAATGATTTGAAAACTGTAAAAGTGATACAAATATAAGGTTTATTATGTTTTCCTTTCTGGAAGGAAATCATTTGAATGTTAAAAGGTAAAAAGACATTTTGGGAGGCAAGGTAGGCTAAAAATAGAATTTAAAAGAAATTTAGCTTAATTCAAAGAGGAGGGACACAATAGGTTTATCTGAAGAAAGGAAAGGAGAGAGTATGCCAGACCTTTTGATCCTGACTTCAAGGAGGCCAACCCCACCCTTGCCCAACGGGGCTCGGTTGTCACTGTCAGCTACAGGGCTAGGATAGGCAGACAAAGGATCTGACTGGAGCACAATCCTTATGCTCTTCAAATGGGCTGCCCTCCCTGTGGGAGGCTGCCCTCTTTCACTCACCAAAACCTAGGTGCTGTTCTAGAGTTAGATTCAGGGGGAGGTTCCCTGCCAGCTTCCCAGGCTCATGGTTCCCTTTCCTTCAGGGTCTCTCACAGCTATTCTGCTTCCTCCTTTTGGCTTATCTGAGCCCCGGGGTCCCAAGGACACCGCTACTGCCTCCTCCAAACCTCATGGCAAAGACAAGAGGACTTCTGCTGCTCAGACTCAATCCTCCCTACAGCCTCCAGGGCTTATCAGGCCCCTGGAGTTTGCAGGGTTAGGAAATGTTGCCATCTAGAGGCATGTTTCAGCGAGTACAGGAGGGCATCGGTTTTCAGCATGTAATGAAGGCTGCATCAGTCACCTCAATAATTTCTGGGTAACTCTTTTTTCTCTTTCTTTGGATCGATAATCCCCTTTTTTCATCCATTGCTGAAGTTTGGTTACAGCACTGATTTCAAATGAAGCCCATTTCTAAAATGGAATGAAGCCAGCTAAGCCGCTCCCTATCATTTCAAGGACCTAGTACACGCATTCACTACACCAGAGTATAAAAAAAATAATCTTTTAATTGCTTTGTAATTGGCACAGATGGCATAATTCAAACTCATGTTTTTATTTAATAGACTATGAACCATCACACTGTGTAGCTTTAAAAGCACAGAAATCATATTGGCTTAAGAATTTTTAAAAATTACATTCACATAATATTCTTAAGGTTAATCCATAAAATTAAGTACAGGGATTGAATAAATTGAGGAAAAAGCTAATTTAAGAGAGGAAGTTCCCAACACACACATTAAAATCTTTTTTCATGAATTTGCAATAGTGCATTTTGGCCATTTTCATGCTCATGAAAGCCTTGCTACTTTGCTAGCAAACAGGAAAATTTACAAAACTATTACTTAAAAATATGGTAGGGTGGGTATAAAGTTGGCTGCTGGAATGCTCTGTAAGGAGAAGTCCTCAAAGTCAGTCCTGTTTGAAGCTACTGACCTGGTCTAGATTTGAAGGGCTCTGTCTGTTTCTGGAAAACCAGCATTATTCACTATTAAATCTCACCACCAGAAACAAAGAAGCAGATTCATGTCACCACTTGACTGGGGGAGGGTTCCCTTCCCTAGAAGGGCAGGAGGTGAGATGCAGCTAATCACAAATCCTTTTTCCAGGATCAAAACAACTGAAAGGCCAATCACACAGAGCGATAATTCATCAGCAGCCTTTTGGGTGTGGAGCACAATATGAGCCATGAAATTGCCTGTTTCAGCTACTCTTCAGTAGAGAAACTGAACATCATCTTTGGGAATTATCATGACAGGGGAGAGAAGATGAGAGGGACTGATCCTATCTCAGGGCAGATGTGGTGGCTGCTCTGGAGGGTCTCCATCTCTATAAAAGGAGATGAAGCCCCAGTGAACAAGGGAAGAGCAACTGAAAATACCTTTGACAGCAATAAGTATAGGCTTTGGTGCACACATTTCAACTTGCAAAAGGCATTCATGATTAGATCGGACTTCTGGACAGGGTTGAGGGTTAAGTGATTTGGTGCCTTTCCTGATGAAATGCCTTGATTCTCCAGTTCCATGACAAGCTTAAGTCAATGATCTAAATGGGCCTACGGTGTCAAGGATGCCAAGTGAAGATAATTTCCACCCACGCAGTAATGAGTAGAGCTCTCTGGCCCAGGTTTTAACAAAAGCACTGCTGTGCCACAACCTGGGATATGAAAATTAAAATTTGGGTTAGTGCATAGTTAAAAGTTTTCCACACCAGTTTTCCGCACATGGGTGGAGACCTGCTGCTTGTTCCTTTCTGGGTTCAATGCTCTTGGGCTACCTCCACTGTGGCCTTTATGTCCGCTGTGGCCTTGTCGACAGCCGGTTTCTTTGAGTAATCCCGTTCTCCAAAAATAGTACTTCCTATACGGACATTGGTGGACCCCACTTCGATCTGGAGAGAAACGGAGAGAGTCGACACTGAATCCTGAATAACAAGTGACGCCTAGGGTATACTTCTCAATGTCTATCTCATATACATAAGGAGGCAAAGAACAGTCGCAGGGTACCAACCAGGGCACTTAGAGAACCACCTGTCTGTGATCTAATCTTGTCTTGTTGCCTTTGGCAATGCGGCTGAGGCAGATACAGGCCTAGTGCACAGAAACTTACCGCGTGTTGGAAATCCATGGACATGCCCATACTCAGTTCCACCTGGTCAATGGGGATGCTGAGCTTCTCACACAGCTCCTTCCGCAAGGACAACAGAGCCTGGTAGAACAGTCCAAAGGAGGGAAGGGTCAGGTGAAAGATATCTTTTCTGAAGTCAACTGAAGGGGGCTGCATTTAGACTTCTGTCAGAGGTTATTAAGTCCCTTTGGTTCAGGAGGACCTCGGTTCTCAGAGGTTCCAATGGAATGTTTTCTGGGAAACTTTGCTTATGTCATCAAAAATTTTCATCAGAAAAGAAACCAAGGGCTCATTCTTCTCAAAATATATATTCCAACTGGATGAAGAATTGCCTATAGGATATTTCTTTGGAAAGCTACTCCTCCCCTGTGCCCTAGGTGAGGTTGCCATGTGTTTGACTTTAGAGGGAGTTTTAACTTGGCACAGATTTGGTTAAAATCTAAGCTGCCTTTGAAGTCTGTCACTATAACAAACTACACAGAGCACTGTCAATGTCAGAGCCAGAAGGGATCCCAGAGATCATCTACTCCCATGCCTTTGCCCTACAGATTAGGGAAGAAAGGAAGCACCTCCCTCAAGAGCATTGACTGGTGAGTGCCAAAGTCCAGATTAGAGCTCAGGGTCCAGTGTGCCATCCTCCCACAACACTACTGCCAGGGCTGGTGCCTGCCTGCCACTGTACCTGGAAGTCTGGGTTGGGCCCTTGACTGAGGTCGTATCCAAAACTCCCAATGGTCATCAGACCCACAAACTCCAGGCTGGGACACTTGGCATTGATATGTTCCACCGTGGCCACTGTCTCTGAAGGTGGGAGCCCATGTTTACCTTCATGGAGAGAAAGATTCACATCCAGGAAGCTTTAAGTGGTAGGAGACAGCCTCATTTCTAACCGAACTCCTCCCCCCCCTCATCCCCCTCAGGATCAAAACAGATGGTCCTTGGGGAAAATGCTCTTCTCTTTAAGAACTCTCAAAGAATGTCCAGCACAGCCTTTAAACTCAAGCTCTCCAGGCAAGAGATTGTCTGAGATAGGGCTGCCCTCTAGGACTGTATGCTACTCTCCCACACTGAAGAACTCCCAAGAAGGCTTTGCTGGAGGACATCAATGGGAGCTACCATGCTGTATCATAAGAGGAGTCACTGAGTTAGATTTTTCTTTATCTATGCTCTAAGAGTTTATGAAGGTTTTATTAACATTACAGTTCACAGGATCATAGATTTAGAGCTGGCAGGGATCTTAGCAATCAGCCAGGCTAACTTCCTCACTCTACACATGAGAAAACTCGGGCCTAGAGAAGGTAAAAGACAAGGTCACACAGACAGCAAATAACAGAGCCAGTCAATAGAATGAATATTAAGTTTGCATGTTTACAATAATAAATTTGCTTCTACGTACATGGTAAGATATCACTGAACCTACTGGAGGACTACTACAAGAATTCTTAACAACAGCTGACTATATGATTTATCACTGGCTCTGTGGTTACAAAGCAGCCTTATTTACGAGCTGGGGGGCCATAATCCACAGGTTCCATCACTTACTGAATAGAGTATCTGGACTCACTTGTTCTCTGAGCAATAGCAATAGCAAATTTCTGCCTTTCACTAAGAAATGGTGCCACTACAAACTGTATCTGCAGCTAAGTACTGAATTGCCCATGTGCGGGACGCAGCAGAATTGGGGTTTATGGATGTGAATAAAGTGGGGAAGAAAATATCCAAACTGTGCACTCCCCTGTAAGTTAAAGAAACTAACTACGAATGAGCACCGGCTTCATGATGGCTGTGAACAAGAGCTGCTTATCAAGTCGGTTTGTAAAATAATAATAATAATCATGTATCCCCTCAACCCCAGCGTGCCAAAGAAACTTACTGATAAAAATTTACGTTGATTTTTCAGCACTTCCTACATTAAAGCAGTGCTGAAGAGGAGAATCTATTTAAAAATTTAAATTTAAAAATAAAATTTCCATTCCCTTGCTGGACTGTTGGCTGTGCTTAATCAGGCATTCTCAACAGGCCCAAATCACCCCTATTCCCCCTCAGCTGCTCTTTACTTTAAAGGCGGGAGCAGCCAAGCTCCTGTGGGTGTGAAGCTGCTCCACCTGCACGGCTGTGCGCTCGGGTCAGCAGTGGCTTTCACAGAGTTTGACAGGAACCGACCTGGCCACATCAGCTCTCCTAGAAGATGCTGGTGTGCCATCACAACTCACTTACAAAGCACCTTTCTCGTAACCGCCCGTGAGGCAGGTAGTTTAAGTGTTCTCATTTTATAGGCTGAGAGTCTCACTCATCCCGAGGGAGGTAAAAGCCATTCCTTAGGTCCGAGTCACTTACTTTCTTCCCCACTGGTGTTAATCTGCACCATGACTTTTAGTCTCTCTGGAGAGCCTTTCTTCTGCCAGGAATTGTTTACTTTGTCTGCCAACTTCACAGAGTCCACGGTTTCCAGCATGTAGAGGTTGGGGACAGCTGCGAGAAGGAAGAAGTAATGGAGCAGACTTGGTTTCTTACTCCACCTATTCCTATAGGCTGCTTGCCCTTCCTTATTGAGTTCTTAAGCATAATAATGTTAATAATAACAACTGGCATTTAGATAATTTGCAGAGTATTTTACAAATACTATCTCAATCCTCACAATAATCCTGTGGGGTAACTGGTATTATTATACCCATTTTACAGACAAGGAAACTGAGACTGAGAGAGATCAAATGACTGGCCCAGAGTCAGTTATTCAATAAGCATTTATTAATCACTTACTATGTGCCAGGCACTGTGCTATGCACAAAGGATGCAAAGAAAGGCAAAAGACAGTCCCTGCCTCAAGGAGCTCACAGTCTAGCTGACATAGCTTGTAAGTACTTGAGGTAGAATTTGAACTCAAGTCTTTCTGATTCCATGTCCAGCATTCTATTTGCTGCTCATCTAGAAACCCAAGAGATATTATCACTGGGTATGAGCTAGAATGGATGTTAGAACTGTTTCAGCAGCAAGGATCAATAAGGGAAATACTTAATGTACAGGATTAGACACCAATATCCATCAATGTGTAAAATTCTCTTTAGTTAAATTCAACAATCATTTATTGATGTACAAGGTCTTTGTTTCAGGGAGCAGCTTGGGGTCACTAAAAGTCCTCAAGAGTTTCCCAAAAGGAATCTGGTTCACTCTCTTCCTTCCATCCAATTCGAGGCCATCCACAGTGACTAAGAAATATGTACACATACTTTAGATCCCCTCCGAAGGTTGCTCATCCAACAGAATTTCATAATCAAGGTAACAGGTAATCTTGATCTACTTGGTTTTTTCCTATATGATCTTTTTAATATTAATATCCTTGATATTAAAATAAGAATGCTACATGGCTAGAAGGCCTAGAATACCACATTGAAATTGCAATAGGAAATGGAGAGGTGCTTGATGGGAAGTTATTTTTTTACAAGTATGTATAATCTCTCCTTCCAACTATTCTCTACTCTCCCCCTCTCAAACAATTTAAAAAATAAAGTCCTTAAAATCAATATGCATAGCTCCGCAAAAAAAAAAACAACAAAAAAAACTACATTAGCCATGTCCAAAAGTATATATCTCATTCTGCATTTGAAGTCCATGACACCTCTGGCAGGAGATGTGTGGCACATTCCATCATCAGGTTTCTAGTATTTGAGTTTAATCATTGAATCTATCAGAATTCTAAAGTCTTTCAAGTCTAAAGTCTTGCTTTTCTTTATAACACTGGCTGTGATTATATAAATGATTCTCCTAGATATGCTCATTTCATTTTGCATTAGCTTATATAGCTGAACTGATACAAAGTTTGGTTCTATGTTCAATAGTTTCTCCTGAAACTGTCCATTTGGTCATTTCTTATGGCACAATAGTATTGCAATACATTCATATACCATGACTTGTTTTGTTATTCCCCAATAGGTGGGTCCTCCATTAGTTTCTAGCTTCTGGCTACTACAAAAAGGGCTGCTAAAAAGAGTTTTGTACAAATAGATCTCTTTCCTCTTTCTTCGGGGAACAGGTCTAAGAGTGGTACTGATGGGTCAAAGAGTATGCACAGTTTGGTAACCTTTTAGGGGTAGTTCCAAATCACTGTAAATGGCAACATCTAACCAACAAATAACTGTGCAGACATAAAGGTTGTCAAGAGAGAGGAATGACCAATGAACAGCCCATGTTTACACTGGCAGCCATGCAAATGTCTAGAGAGTGAGAAGGAGGAAGCTGGCGTATCGGATAGACTCCCCATGCACAAGAGATGCACAGGCAGAGAAGGAGTGGATGACCTAGAATTAGTGCCAACGGAGAGTACCCAAACTGATCCACCAAGTACTTGATTATGGGCCAAACACTCTGCTAGGTACTGGAGACATACGATAAAAAATGAAATAGCCCTTACTCTCAAGGAATATATTTATATTCTACTAAGAGAAACATGACAGGTATACAGATTCGTGTAAGGTTTATGCAATGATTCTTTACCCTGATAATATTAAGAACCTGAACTTCTTACCTGAAAGAAATCTATCACCACCAATATCAGGTGAGTTTTCACTTGAAGCTTTTTCTCTCACCTTTCATGGAAAATCGTTAGTTTATATCCTTACCCATCAATTTGTTGATATTGTGTTTCTGCAGGTGGCCGATGAAATGCCATTTTATCTCAGGACATGAAGATAGAATCTGAAGAAAAAGAGGTAGGAGGAACGGGGAAAGTTTGGCTCTGATCTTATGGACGCACATCATACTGCTAGCAGTCACCTCCTGGCTGGGGATCTCTGCACGTACCTGGTTCCATCTCCTGAAACACAAGAGCTCCAGGTGTGCTTACTAAACCACTACTCCTATCCTTTCTCAGCTTCCCAATAGACTGGAAGGAGATTCAAGTATGGTTTTAGGACTCCTGCCTCATCTATTCACCTGGCTGGTTTCTGCCCCCATCTCCACCTTACCCCTGGGGGAGAGGTTTTACATCCAAGTTTATCAGGGCTTTTAACTTTCAAATAGATCCCAAGACCACAGCAATGTAACTAGACCTTTGTTGGATTTTTCTAGTAGAAAAATCCAACAAAGGTCTAGTTACATTGTACCATCACATGCAGAAGTGGAAGGGATTTTACATGAAAGAGATTTTCCTTTAGCTGGAAAAAACATGGGGCCAAACAGGAATGGACAAGGTGCCGAGCTCCTTACCTCCCCTACCATAAACAGCCCAGGGAGAAAGGTCAAGACTGAGAACGAATGTAAAGAGTCTATAAACCCCCACTTACTTTAGTATTTGATGCTTTTTCTAACAGCTCCTGAACCTAAGAAGATTAAAATGAAAATTGCATGAGTCTGAAGTTCAGCCATTGGGCCTCTTCCAAAGTCCAGTCAGATACTTTCCCTGCAGACTTGGGGAACTCAGAAAGGCCACTTACATAGTTCTCTCCAAAGCTTCTCTGTCCATGAGCATATGCCTCAATCACCATGTCAGCAGGCTTGGTTTTGCTCACAGCTACTAGCCGGGGTTGAATGGCTGGGAGGTCCTGCCAAGGGAAAAGTGTCATACTTGAGTGAAAGGTAGATACTCACCTTGAAATAACTGGCAGTCAGAAAGATTTATCCCAGTAAATCTAATGGAAAAGTATTGCAACAAGAGCCCTGACAATCCTAGTTTTAGCTCTCTGGTTCTGTAGGGAGTAGTATTCTTTAACTTTAAGTACATGGGACTTCCAGTTAATCTGCTGCCCAAAAAGACTTTTCCTCCTCAGCAGAAGCAGGAAGAAATGGTAAAGTTGCAATCCTTTGACCAGAAGGAAACCTATTTACTGGGCCTTGAAGCCTCAGAGTTAAGAGGGGCATGTTGCACTAAACTAATTTTCTGTTCCTTTGTGTTCCCTAAGCCTGAGTAACTCAGTTTCAGAGGAGGGAGAAAGGGAGGGAAGAGAATTATCTGGAACTTGTGACTCAGAACTGCTTAGAAGGAGAACAATTTGGGGTTTAGTCAAGAGAGATATGTTCTACTTCTTTTTTCTTTTTTTTAAAATTCTTTTCTTTTTTATTTTTAGTTTTCAACATTTACTTACACAAGATTTTGAGTTCCAAATTTTCACCCAATCTCGCCCCTCCCCCACCCCAAGATGGCATGCATTCTGAATACCCCTTCCCCTGGTCTGCTTTCCCTGCTATCTCTCCCCCCCTTCCCCTTCTATTTTCTCTGTACCCCATTTCCTGTATTTCTTATTTCCCAGTTGTATGTGAAAACATTTTTTTTTAAAACATGTGTTTTTAAAACTTTGGGTTCCAAATTTTCTCCCTTCTTCCTTCCCCACCCACCTTCACTGAAAAGGCAAGCAACTCAATATAGGCTATACGTGTGCAGTTATGCAAAACATTTCCATAGTAGACATGCTGCGAAAAACTAACTCTATTTCCCTTAATCCTATCCCGCCCCCCCCATTTATTCTATTCTTTCTTTTGACCCTGTGCCTCCTCAGAAGTATTTACTTCTGATTACCCCCTTTCCCAATCTGCCCTCCTCTCTATCATCCCCCTACTCTCTTGTCCCTTTCCCCTCCTATTTTCCTGTAGGGTAAGACAGATTTCCATACCCAATTGAGTGTGTATGTTATACCCTCCTTAAGTCAAATCCTATAAGAATAAGATTCACTCATTTCCTCTCACCTTCCCCTGGTTCTCCTCCACTGTAAGAGCCTTTTCTTTTCTGTTTTTTTTTTTGTGAGATAATTTACCCCGTTCTACCTTTCCCTTTCTCCTTCTCCTAGTGTAATCCTCTCTCACCCCTTAATTTTATTCTCCAGATGTGACCCCTTCATCTTCAACTCACCCTGTGCCCTCTATCTATCTATCTATATATACATACACATAATTTCTTCCCTCCAACTACCCTAATGCTGACAAAAGTCTCACGAGTTACAAATATCATCTTTCCATGCGAGAATGTAAATAGTTCAACTTTAGTAAGTCTCTTATGATTTCTCTTTCCTATTTACCTCTTCATGTTCCACTTGAGTCTTGTATTGGAAATTTCTATTCAACTCTGGTCTTTTCATCAAGAATGCTTGAAAGTCCTCTATTTCACTGAAAGACCATTTCTTCCCCTGAAGAATTATACTCAAGTTTTGCTGGGTAGGTGATTCTTGGTTGCAATACTTTCTCCTTTGCCCTCCGGAATATTATATTCCATGCCCTGCGGTCCCTTAATGTAGAAGCAGCTAAATCTTGTGTTATCCTGATACTTGAATTGTTTCTTTCCGGCTGCTTGTAATATCTTCTCCTTGACCTGGGACTCTGGAATTTGGCTACAATATTCCTAGGAATTTTCCTTTGTGGATCTCTTTCAGGAGGAGATCGGTGGATTCTTTCAACTTCTATTTTGCCCTCTGGTTCTAAAATATCAGGGCAGTTTTCCTTGATAATTTCTTGAAAGATGATGTCTAGGCTCTTTTTTTGATCATGGCTTTCAGATAGTCCAATAATTTTTAAATTCTCTCTCCTGGATTTATTTTCCAGGTCAGTTGTTTTTCCAATGAGATATTTCACATTGTTTTCTAATTTTTCATTCTTTTGGATTTGTTTTACAGTGTCTTGATTTTTCATGAAGTCACTAGCTTCCAATTGCTCTATTCTAATATTTAAGGAAGTATTTTCTTCAGTAATCTTTTGGACTTCCTTTTCCATTTGGCCAATTTTGCTCTTTAGGGCATTCTTCTCCTCATTGGCTTTTTGGGCCTCTTTTGCCATTTGGGTTAGGTGTTTTTTAAGGTGTTATTTTCTTCAGTATTTTTTTGGGTCTCCTTTAGCAAGCTGTTGACTTGCTTTTCATGATTTTCTTGCATCACTCTCATTTCTCTACCCAGTTTTTCCTCTACTTCTCTTACTTGCTTCTCAAAATCCCTTTTGAGCTCTTCCAAGGCCTGGGACTGATTCATATTTTTCTTGGAGGCTTTGGATGTTGGAGCTTTGACTTTATTTTCTTTTTCTGGTTGTATGTTTTGATCTTCTTTGTCACCAAAGGAAGATAATATAGTATGACTCTTTTTGCATTGCTTGCTCATGATCCCAACCAATTACTTGAGTTTTAAACTCTTTGTTAAGGTAAGAGTCTATTTCCAATGTGGAGAATGTACTGTCCCAAGCTTTGGAAGTTTGTACAGCTGTTTTCAGAGGTAGTTCTAGGGACCTGTAAATTTTCAGTCCTTCCAGGGTGGTATGATAAGGGGCGAGGTGTTTCGCCTCCACAGCCACAAGAAGCTCCACCACATCACGCTCCTCCTCGCCCCAGGACCGCCCCTCAGAACTGTGACCCAGATCCAAGCACGGGCAAAGCAAGAGATTCCTGCCTCATCACTGGCAAAGAGAACCCTGCAATGCCCCTCTGATCAGCCATTCGATTCCCCCTTAGCCTGTGGACCAGAAGCTCAGAAGCCAGCCGCTGCCCTTGGGGCGGCTGAGATCTAGCTTCTTCTCTCACCACAGTAAAAGACTTTTCCCACTGACCTTCTAAGTTGTCTTTGGCGTTCCTGGGTTGAGAAATCTGGAAACTGCCACAGCTGTCCAAGATTCAGTCCTCTAAGGCCTGTTCCAGGGTCGCTGCGGCTTGAATGTCCACGCCCAACTGTGCTCCTCTCCCAGCCCAGCTTGATATACTTTTCTGATCAGCCATCCAGGTTGTCTTGGGCTGGAAATTTGTTTTACTCTGTTTTTTTGTGGGTTCTGCTGCTTTAGAATTTATTTAGAGCCATTTTTTGTAGGTATTTGGAGGGTTTTGGGGGAGAGCTCTAGTAAGTCACTGCTTTCCCTCCGCCATCTTGGTTGTGCCCCCCCCCCCCCCCCGTTCTACTTCTTAGAGGGGGGTCATGGCCACAGCCAGTTCTAAGGCAATATTCTTCAAAATTAAAAACAAACAATCAAACAAATTTAACATCCATTTGCAACTTGTTTCTACCTCAAAGAAAAGAGTTGAGAAAAGGCCTAGTTTTGGAAATCCAAAGGCTATAGCAGTGATGAGAAGCCAGCCTAATTTTTACTAGGAAAAGAAAAGCCATCTGTTTTTATGCAGTAATGCTTTGACTGGTCCCTTGTAGATTCCTTAATACAAAGTAATCCAGCACTAGTCAATGGACCAGTATCACTGTGGGGACCAATAAAGAAGCAGGCACAGACCAGATCTTGAGCTTTTTGGCAGCTGAGTTTGTAAAATACATTAATTTCTCTTGAAGTACTCTCTTTCTCATTATATGCAGTTTTAGATGGCTAAGAAAGGACACAGGAGATTTAGACAAGAACAGAAGAAAAGTCTGGTGCTTCAGACATCCCATTCCCACCAGCTGATGAGTTCTTCAGAGGGCTCTACCTAATGATCATGATGACAAAAGGAGCTAAAACAAACCTAAAATTTTAGACATGGAAGGAACCTTAGAGATCAACTGGTCCGATCCCTCCATTTTAGAGAAGAGGAAACTAAGGCCCAAGGAATTAAGTGATTTGCTCATGGTCATACAGAACTAGTTAATGGAAGAGGCGGGACTTTACTTCCACTTTGGATTAACTGCCTCCCTCCTATCTCAATTAACACTGGTTCACAACACTCTCCCCCACCCAACACACACACACACACACACACACACACACACACACACACACACACA